TGATTCAATCTGGCTGCAGGAAGGGGTAGGTGCAGGGCGGGATTTGATTGAGAACAAGGGAGAGAGGCAAAAGAGAAGAGCAAAATTATGGCAACAAAAAAAGAAAAACCCAAACAAAACAATCAGGGTGGCAAAGACAAAGGGCTGCTAAAATGCCTTGTAGCTGTCAGAAAGGGCGTGGAGGAGGGAGGGTTTTTGTTTTTTTTTTTGGTACCGGGGATCTAACTTGGGACCTTGCACTTTCCAGGCAGGCGCCAGAACCTCCAAGTTAAATCCCTGCCCCTGGTTTTGGTTTTTGAGACAGAACTTCAGCTATGTAGCTCAAGCTGGGACCTAAACTCTATATATCCCAGGCTGGCCTTGAACTCACAGTGGTCCTCCTGCCTCAGCCTCATGAGTGCTGGGATTATAGGTATGCACCACCACACCCCACTCTTTGTTTTTTGAGATGGGCTTGCTAGGTAGTCCAGCCTGGCCTTGAACTCTCAATTCTCCTGCCTCAGCCTCCCAAGTGCTGATATCATAGATATCATAGATGTAGATATCTCACCCAGAAAAGTTTTGAGCTGGAGGCTTGGAGTACTGGCAGCAGTTAGTAGATAAAGGTGGTGAGTGGGGAGAAGGGAATAATTAATGTCTTCATACTTGTGTTCAGGTATATTGGGAGCTCAGAATAAATGGGTAAATGCTTTAAGAACTAAAGACGTATGTGGTACTTTTAACCTTGTATGTAACTTCACCAAGTGTAGTGGGAAGCTGTCTTTCACAAATCTTTAGATGGGGATTCATTCATCTTTGCCCATTTCTCTGCCTGGCATTGGGGACACAGCAGTGAACACCACAATTTTGGTTTTTTGTGGCCATAAGCTCACAGGGTACAAGCAGTTACACTTCAGCATGATTAGGACTAAAACAGGATATTAGCTGGGATGTAGTGATGCATGTCTGTAATTCCAGCTCCTGGGAGGCTAAGTCGGGAAGATTGTAAATTCAAGGCCAGCCTGGGCAAATTAATGAGACCCTGACTCAAAAACAGACAAATGGGTCCGGGGATTTAGCTCAGTGGTTCTGCTGCCTGCCTCGCAAGCACAAGGACCGGAGTTTGATCCCCGGTACCAAAAAAAAAAAGCAGACAAATGAACCAGGAATGGGCGCAAACAGCTGTGATCCCAGGACTCAGTAGGCTGAGGCAAGAGGATCACCGAGTTTGAGACCAGCCTGGGCTATAGAGCAAGACCCTGTCTCAAAAACCAAAAAAACAAACAAACCAAAAATCAAATGAACAGGGCCAGGGATGTAGCTCAATGGCACCATGCCTGCCTACCAAGTGCAAGGTCCTGAGTTCAATTCCTGATATTGAAAAACAAAACAAAAACAAAAATCAAATGAACAAATAACCAGGGTGTTAATGGTGCTGACTACTTGGCATCTAACCTAATCTCAAAGGCTAGGAAGAACTGCAGAGGAAGCGACATTTAAATGGATTCTGAAGGGCTGGGGAATTAGCTCAGTGGTGCTGCACCTGCCTCACAAGTGCAAGGTCTTGAGTTCAATACCTGGTACTGGGGGGAAAAAAAAGATCTCCAGATAAATGGATTCTGAAGTGTGGCTTTTCCCTGAGTCTACATTGTCCAAGAAGCTAGGAAGCTAAACTGTCTTGTTCATTCCTCCCACAAACTCTGCATCTATCAGGTGCCTGGCACACAGTGTTCTCTTGATAGAGGTTTGTTGAATGAATTTCTGTGAATCATATCTTAACTCGCTGAAATTGGGTTTTGTTTTTGTTTTTGTTTTGAGACAGGGTCTCACTAGATTGTCTAAGCTGGCCTCGAACTCACTATGTAGCCCAGGTGGGCCTTGAATATGCAGTGATTCTGCTTCAGCCTCCTGAGTGCTGGGTTTTACCAGCATGTACCACCACACTGGCTTGAAATTATGTTCATCAGTATGAATATCTTTGTTATCACATTCTTGTAATAAATGTAAAAGCCTTTTGTGAATTGTCGAACATGCTTGTTTTAAAGCTGTTCAGTACCATGTCGCAAATGTGGATAATGTAGGATCTCTGTCGTCTGCCTCACATCTCACTTTTTTTTTTAATCTTTACTCCATTAAAGTCAAGGAAAAAAACTCAGAACATTAGAAAACTTAGACAAAAGTAATGTGACGAGGAAAAAATAATCTTCATTAGCCTGATTATTTCTCTTACTATAGAGTGGTTTCTACTGTATTTCCCTCAAAATAAGACCTAACTGGAAAATAAGCCCTAACATGATTTTTCAACACTTGTAATATAAACCCTATCCCCAAAATAAGCTCCAGTTAAGATTGTTGGCCAGAAGGACACATTTATTATGCCTGTTTCAATACACAATGGATTATTTTTCACAATGGATTATTGAAGTTTAACATAATATCAACATATAAATAAAACATATCATTGACATTAACACTTAAATGATAATATAAATTGTAATTAAGTACAAATGGATCCTTGACTTGATCGGTTCCTGAGGAAGGGTTGGTTGTAAGTCAATATAGCTGAGATCTGGATGTTTACCAGGGTACATGCTATAGATAACAAGAGGCAGATGAATCTTCTCAACCTAATTAACCCAAGTTGTTCGTATGTCAGGCCACTTGTAACTTGAGGATCCACTGTATTTGTACATACCCAGTCACCTTTGGATGAGCGGTAAATGTCTATGTGAAGAGATGAACTTATTGCCAAATGACCAATCAGAGTATAGACACAACGCACTGATAAGATGCTCACTCGAAAATGGACATGGTGTTTCTAATCCGAATCTTCAACATTCAACGTGTTGTAATGGATGTATTTAATGTACTCATGTGAAATAAACATTTTGTGAATTTTGGTGCCTGCAATTTTTCATCGCTTTTGTATGGCTCATCATTCTTTTTTTTTTTTTGGTACCAGAGATTGAGCTTGGGATCTTGCACTTTCGAGGCAGGCAGTGGAACCACTGAGCTAAATCCCCAGCCCTATGGCCCATCATTCTTAACTGCCATCATTTTTGTTGCCATTCTTGTCTCATAAGTCTTCAATAAACACTTGATTTAATGGAAACTTTGTGAAGCCCAGCCTGCAAGAGGTCGTGACTTGGGTGAAGAATTTATGGGATAAAATCACTGACAGCTGTGTTGCCAGTGCACTATGAGTAGGGTACACGGACAAGAAGTGCTCATTTAACTCGAGCTTTATTGCTGGACATGAGAGATTGGGACCAATGGTTCTACAGGAAATGGAGTCACAAGAAATTCAGACCAGGGGCAGGGATTTAGCTCAGTGGCACCTCAAACGCCTCACAAGTGGAAGGTCCTGAGCTTGATCCCCAGTACCGGAAAGAAAAAAAGAAAGAAAGAAAGAAAGAAAGAAAGAAAGAAAGAAAGAAAGAAAGAAATTAATTCAGGCCAGAATTTGTGGTTTGGAGAGTTACGATGTTCCAGAAGAAGATGACATGACTGTATTTGAATAAATGTAGATTTTTGTATATGAATAAATGAATAAATGTTGATTATTATACATGGAATAAATGTAGATTGTTGTGCATGAAAAAATAAGACAAAAATAAGCCCTGTTGCATTTTTTTTTTTTTTGGTACCAGGGATTGAACTCGGGCCCTTGCACTTGCAGGGCAGGTGGTGAAACCACTGAGCTAAATCCCTGGCTAAAAGAGCATTTTTAGAGAATGTTTTAATTTGATGCATGTCTCCACTTTCCTTTTTTTTTTTTTTTT